ACAGAAGGAGAATTGACGCCTTTGAGCTGTGGTGCTGGAGAAGAGTATTGAATGTACCATGGACTGCCAAGAAAACAAACAGATTTATCCTAGAGAGGGTTAAACCAGGTACCATGGACTGCCAAGAAAACAAACAGATTTATCCTAGAGAGGGTTAAACCAGGCTATTCCTTGGAGGCAAAGATCCTGGGGCTTTCGTCTGACATACTTTGGACATATTGCAAGGAGAGACAGGTCTTTGAAGAGGGACATCATGCTGGGTAGAGTAGAGGGACAGCGCAGGAGGGGAAGACCCTCTATGAGGTGGATTGATTCAGTGACTGGGGTAATCGGGATAGGTTTGTCAGAGGCAATGCAACTGTCACAGGATAGAGCGGAGTTTAGGGCTGTTGTACATAGGGTCGCTATGAGTCGCAAACGACTTGACGGCACATAACAACAAAAACAACAACAATTCAATGAGCTCGACTATGCTCTTCGTGTTGTGCAATCACTACCAATTATCCTTTTTCCGATTACTGAACCACCACTAACAGAAACTCTGTGCTCCCCATGCAATGACTTCTCATTTCTCCTTCCCTTCCATTCATTCCTGGTAACCACCAGTAAACTTTGGTCTTGATACACTAACCTTGCCTATTCTAAATATTTCATATGCTGTGACTAACTTATTTCACACAGAATAAAGTTTATCCACATCACAGTATTCAGGCTTTATCCACATCAGTGTGTTAGAATTTTATCTTTATGACTGAATGTCATTGTACATATGGACATACCACACTTTGTCTATTCATTTGTTGGTGGACATGTAGGTTGTATCTACCTTTGATTATTGTAATGCTGTACTCAACACTGGTGTACAAGTGTCTACTTTGAAGACTTCTGATTACACAGTGAGGAGTGGAAATGCTGGTACCATCCCTTTTTAAGTGTGGGCGGGAGAGCGAAGAACCAGAGTTTTTCTACTTATATAAAATACATGCTTCAATATGTCTGCCTCTTAAATCTTCCCTGTCTTGGGAAGACTTAAGTGGTAGGCACGTGCCAAGGCCCAAGAGGCCTGAGTGAGTAAACAAATTGATCCCATATCCTCAGCTGCAGAATCAAGATAATGAAACCCATTTCTCAAGGCTGGTGGAGGGGTGCTGTGAGCTCACGCGTGCCATTGGCTGCTTAGCCGAGTGTCTGGAAAAGAGCTGAAGTTCAGTCAGGAGTGATTTTCTACCCTTCTATTAAAACTCTGCTGAAAGAGAGTTTGCCCTCCTTGTTTAAAATGTTTATAGCTTTATCAGGATATAATTTACATACCATAAATTCACTGATTTTAAGTGCACAATTCAATAATTTTAGTAAATTATAGTGTTGTGCAACTATTACCACAAACTACTTTTAGAACTTTTCCATTGCCTCAGAAATTTCCCACAACTCAGTTCATAGTCTCTACGTCCATCCTCTCAGGCCCAGAAAAACCACTGACCTGCTTTCTGTCTCTTACAAATTCATCTTCTCTGGGCATTTTCTATATGTGGAGTCATACAATATGTATGAAGTCTTTTACATCTCCTTCTTTCACTCAGCATGATGATCATCAGTATGTTGTTTTTTATTGCTGAGTAACATTCGACTATATGCCACCTTTTCTCCATCTGTCCCCCACTGATGGGCATTTGGATTGCCTCCAGTGTTTGGCTATCATGGATTAATGCTGCTATGAATATCTACATACAAGTTTTTACACAGGCGTTAAGTTTTCAATTCTTTTGGGTATATATCTAACACAAGAAACCCTGGTGGCACAGTGGTTAACCGCTTGGCTGCTAACCAAAAGGTCAGTGGTTCAAACTTAGCAGCTGCTCTGTGGGAGGAAGATGTGGCAGTCTGTTTCTATAAAGATGTACCACCATGGAATTCTATGAGACAGTTCAAGTCTATCCTGTAGGAGAGCTATGAATTGTCCTGGCACCTTTGGTGAATATCAGTAAGCCATAAACTTTTAACAGTTTATTTCTAGACTTAGTTCTATTTTCCTAACCTCTGTGCCTATCTTTATGCTGGTACCACTCTGCCTGGATTATTATAGCTTTGTAATAAGTTTTGCAAATGAGGAAAAACAAGGTCTCGTGTTAGGATTCAATCTGTCAATTTTTTTTTTAAAGCACCCTATTGGGATTTTGGTAGTGATTATATTAAATCTGTGGATCAATCTGGTGACAACTGTATTTTTTTTGTTAGTTGATTTACAAAATTCAAATACATTGTTTTTCAGATCAGATTGTTCCAACTACCCTAGACCCCTACCCATCAAACAATCCCAATATTAATCCCCTTCTCCCTCCACATACCCTCGCCCCACTGCTTCCACCCTCCCTTGGATCCTCATACTCATTCTACAATAATGGTTTTATATTATAATATATATATATATATGACTGAGTTAGTTCACTCAGCATAATGCTCTCCAGTCCCTCCCAAGTTAGGTAATAATTTACAAAGTCATTGCTCCTGCATGCTGCATAGTATTCCATTGTATGAATGTACCATACTTTCTGATAACTGTATTTGAATAATACTTAGTCATCTCCTCCATGAATATAGAAAGTCTTTCCATTAATTTAGATCATTCTTTCAGCAACGCATTACAGTTTCAATGCAATACAAATCTGGTACAACTTTTGTTAAAATTATTCCCACGTATTTTATTATCTTTGATGCTATTGTGAATGGAATGCTTTTAATTTCATTTTCAGACTATTCACACCTAATATATACACACACAACTGAAACTGATTTTGTATCCTGTGATCTTGCCGAGCTTCTTTATTATTAAAGAGTAGTGTTTGTGACTCCTTTAGGACTGTGCACATATAAAATCGCATCATCTGTGGATTAAGGCAGTTTTTCAACTGTCTTTCTGAGCTGTTGTTGTTGTTAGGTGCTGTCGAGTAGAGCATGACTCATAGCGACATTATGAACAAAAGATCTGAGCCTAGTCCTGTCCTGCACCATTCTCACACTTCCTGACACACAAGAGCCCATTGCAGCAGTCACTGTATCCAATTATTAAATGATGTTTGTTACAGATTTTTCTCATTTCAATTGATTTCCAATATGGGCTCTACCACTATACTACTATAACCATCCTCTTTCTTTAATGTTCATAGGGTTTTCTTTTTTAAAAAAATAAACATTTATTATTAATTTCAATGAAAATTTACAGAAACTTTGGATTTCCATTCATTCATTGTTGCACTTTTCTCCCCTCCCAACCCAGTACACTCCCCTCTTGGAAAAGTAAAAGAAAAATTCTTTCATTGTTTTATAATCCCTCCCTCCGGGTCCACTCCACTATGCAGCTTTTGCTCTAGACTCCTGTCATGACAAAAATACCTAATCACATATCCCTTTTAAACAGTTTTCTCCCTCATCTGTTTCAATGCAGTAGACATTATTTAACCCATCTTTCTCAGTCTCCCCACAATCCTGAAGCCAGTCTTGCTTTACAACAGTGGCACCATTCAGTATTTGTCCTTTTGTGACTGAGATACCTCACTCAGCATAATGTCCTCCAGGGTCACCCAATTTTAATAATATTGCATGAATTCTTTGTTTTTCAATGCAGCATAGTATTCCATTGTGTGAATATACCACAGCTTCTCTAGCCATTTGTTTGTTGATGGGCATTTAGGTTGTTTCCAACTCCTTGCTATGTGAACAAAGCCGCAATAAACATGGGTGTGCATGTATCTGCTTGGATGTCAGTTATGGTTTCTTTGGGGTATATTCCCAGTAGTGGAATTTCTAGGTCACATGATATCTCTATTTGCAACTTTTGAGAAAGTGCCATAGCGCCTTCCACAGTGGTTGCACCAATTTACACTTCCACCAATAGTAAATAAGAGTTCCTGTTTCTCCACAACCTTGCCAGCATTTGTTGCTTGCTGTTCTGTTAAATGTTGCTATTCTTACTGAGGTGAGATGATATCTCATAGTTGTTTTGAGGGTTTTTAAAGGCTTGTAATTTAGGAAGTAGATGGCCCATCTTGCTTCCTAGTGTGTCTTAATCATTGAGCTCCACCAAAATCTGTCTACCACAGGTAACCCTTATCGCATGTGACACACCAGTGGCACAGATTCCAGTATCACAGCAACCCCATGTTATCTCAATACAGCAGAATGACAGACAAGTGGTGATCTGGGTTCCTTTTGTTTATTTTCAATGCTCATTTCCAGTGTTGAGTCTCTCTGGTACTAGGTAGAAGAGAAGCAACAATAGTGAACGTATTGGTTTGCTCCTCAACTAAGGAAGAAAGTATTGCCTTTTAAAAAAAATTTTATTTTATTTTATTATATTTTGTGTGTGTACCATCAAATCGGGTCTGACTGGTACAGTAGGAGACTACCCCTCCTTCTCCAGGAGAGCATCTGGTGGATTTGAACTTTGTGCCTCTGGGATTGCAGTGCAGTTTCCCGTCACTAGGCCACCAGAGCTCCCAAGTATTGCCTTTTTAAAAAGGTACCTCTTGTCATTCCCACCACTCTGTCACTAGAACTGTTAGTGATTTTAAACTGGAGAAATAGACACTAAGGACAAGGGAAAACATACTTGTTTTCTTAACACAGTAACAAATAAAATGAAACATAGTCACAGGCAGGTTCCTTGTAGCTTAGAACAGTCACACACAACAGAATATTATGCAGCCATGAAAAGTAGACATAAGACAACTTGCCAGAAGCATGGGGAAATTCTCACAGGGCAGTACTAAAATGTAAAATAAAGAATAACTTATGGGATTCTGCACAGAGAAAGTTTCAGCACCATACAGAATTCATATGGAGAAGAGACTAAAGTGGAATATGCACAAACATTAATAAATATAGCTGAGGGATCATAGATGATTTTTTTCTATTTTCTTGATGCTTTTCCCCCCAACTGTGTAATCAACTGCAAAAAACCACACACACGCCTAAGAAACTCTATTAGCATGTCCCAGACTCACCTTACAGTACTCATCAATTGGTATCAGGCGTTTGACTGCCACGTCCCGGATATGACTTCTCCGGAAGAGAATTTTGCCTGCAGAGGACAAGAATACACGCACAGCCTCAGAAGAAAGCCATAAATTCCCAGGATGGTGAGAGTGTGGGAGCCTCTGGGGTAGTTCTGAAAGGTATCAAGATTCTTGTTGGCCATCCATTCCCCTCATCGACTTCCAAGGGGCCTAGATAACCCCCATAATTGTGCTCCAAAGCCCTGTCCACAATTCTGCTGTCTAGGACAAGGGTTTGGATGGGGCCAGGTTAATATAAGCTGGTAGATGAGAAAAACTGGAAACAACCTGTGGAATGAAAGGGCTCTTATTGATGAACAAAGATCCCACATCTGCTCCAATTTCAGGTTCTCTCCCTGAACATATACTCAATGTTTTTCATTATTCTCTTTCTTTCTATTTGGGACATCCTTGGAAGCTGGATAACCAATTCCACCTCCCACTGTTGCCTTAAATGTATTACATGTTCCTGGGTCCAAGGCTCTTTCTGACTGCATATACCACGTTGCTGTTGCTGACTGCCTTGGAGTCGAGCACGACTCATAGCAACACTTTGAATAAAAGGCCTGAGCCCCTCTACAATTATCGAAATATATCAACATTCATAGAGTTTCCGGAGGCATGTTGTTTAGGGAAGTGGATGCCACTGTTTCCAAATATACCACATTATCTATTTGTAAACAAATAATGTGTACATCATCTTCTTTCCTAGTGGAGTACTTACATGGTACAGAGGGTTAACATGCCTGACTGTCAACTATAAGGCTCAAAGCCACCCAATGTCAGTGGAAAGGTCTAGTGGACTCCTTCTTCTCATTAGCACTGGAAACCCAATGGAGCACAGTTCTACTCAGACACATGCCATGAGCTGGAGTCCACTCGATGGTGACGGATTTTAGTTGATAGGGAACTGTGCTACCAAACCAAACCTGGGCAGTGTGAATCCACTATCTGCTCCTCAGGAGAAAGATGAGCATCTTCTCCTATGTGATTTACAGCCTCTGAAAACCCATGGAGGGCCAGCTATGAGTTAGGTCTGACTTGACAGCAATGAGTATGAGTCATTAGGCTTTGCATAAATAAAGACTGGCTGGGTCTCAGTTAATTTTATGTCCTAATGGCATGACAAAAAGCTTTGCTGCAATCCCATAGGCATGTGGTTTGAGGCCACCAGTTTCTCCATGGGAGAAAGATGGATAATCTCCTCCATGCCTCTGAAAACCTGCTGGAGGGTCAGCTATTTGTCTGTTCTGACTTGATGGTACACAACGTCAGATAAATGTATGAATGTGGCTTCCACCTGCAAAGAAATTCTCCCTGAATTCTCCCTCCAGTTCTCCCCTAACTAGTGTGTGGAAGCATTCCAAACCTCCTCTGTTCATCAAGTCTTAACTGAGAGTCAGCTACTTGCCTAACACCCTTCTGAGCACTAGGGCACTGTATCTCAAGACTCCAGTGTGGAAGTTGTTACAGCAAAGGTGGAAATATAAATGATGTCAGTGGGGATCTCTGAAAATAGCCACAAGGTTGAAATATAAGGGTGAGGTCTCCAAGAATCTAAGACCATTATCTTGAGGGGAAATTGTGAGAAAGCATAGGAATTGGAGATTAAGATCTCTGGGATCAATGTTTGAAGGATCGACCAGGCAGGGTGAGCAACAGTTAGGGATAAGACATCAAAGACATGAAGATAAGTGTCTCCACAAAGCTTACACAGAGCAACCAGTTCTCCAGAGGAGGCCAAAGAAGGTGGTTCAGGAGAACCACACTGGGCCAGAGCATAGTGTAGAGACACGCTTTTAGCTTCATCTGCTTCTGGTCTGAGGAGGGAGGGCCAAGAGAGGAATCTGGGTCAAAAGCCTGGTAGGGAAAGAAGGGACCACTAGTCTGAGGGTCAGAACTCGCTGATCTGCAATGAGATTGCTTTTCACAGATTAAACTTTGGTGGTGAGGCCCTAGGATGGCAAGGAAGTTCATTATGACAGAACTGAAAGAGAATAAAGAGATAACATACGGATTTTTAGAGATTTGCAGTGCCACATGGTCAAGTTTTCTGCTAAACCAAAATGTTTAATAATTTGACAATTTACCCTTCTGTCAAATAGTATTATTAAGAAATTAGGTGGAATAAATTTTGTATGCAAACCAATACAAAATAAACATTAAAAAAAGAAGAAAAAAATTAGGTGGAATGATAAGACCATTTAATTAACCTTTTTGTCCTCAGTGCTATCAACTTTTAAAAAAAGACCCTTTGGTCAATGAAATAAATAGTCTTTAATATTAAGGAATAGTTTTCATTTAAGTATGCTTATGAATGACTATCCCTCTGCTTGTTGTCGTTGTCAGGCGCTGCTGATGGAATGACCCTGTGTCCAACAGAACAGAGCCCTGCTCTATCATGTGCCCTCCTCACACCTCTGCTGTGCTTAAGCCTGTTGTCATAATCACTGTGTCAACCCATCTCATTAAAGGTCCGCTTTCCCTTCACTGACCCTCCAGTTTTCCAAGAACGATGTCCTTCTCTAAGAACTGGTCTCTTCTGTCCTAACATATGCACGTCTGTGAGATGAGGTCTCATCATCCTTGCTTCTAAAGAGCACTCTGGCTGCACTCCTTCTAAGACAGATGTTTGTTCTTTTGGCTTCTTACAAGATACAAAATCTAGAAAGAAATGTACCACAGGGTTCAAAGTGCTTGTCTCTGAGGGTGTAAGACAGAAGACTTTTGTTTCTCTTTTCTACTTTCCCCAAAGTTTCTATCATAAAGATGTATTGTTTCTGGAATCAGAAAATCTTCACATCATTTGGCAAAAAAAAAAAAAAAAGGAAATTAAGCAGCCAAGTGGAAAGGGGGTTTACAGCTTGGTTTCCCAGAAGCAATGATCTAATTGCTGTATTGACTCAGTAGGAGCCGTCTTCATGGAGCCCACAGTGTGAGTGCTAGGGCTCCGTGGGGAACAGATGGCTCTGCCTGCCCTCCTGATGCGGACACTCAGGGCTCTCGACAAGGGGGTCCTGCTGGCATTGTGAGTGGGGCAGTTCTTCATTGGGCTGACGGTACCTGCACGGCAAGATGTTCAGCATCCCTGGCCCAAATCCAGAACAAGCTGGGAGCCTTCCCAGGCCCATCCCACTTCATATCTTTGTGACAACGCCCCTTCCCCATTTTCCATGGCCTCCATGGACTGAATAGCTTGCAGTTTTAAATCTCTAGGTTTGTCCTGAGTCTTTGTGGGATGCGGGATGGGTGGAAGGAATGCCCGACTGTGAAGAGAAATCCTGCATAGCAAATGTTTCCTGCCCTCTCATTTATTTTTCAAAATGGCAACCACACCCTACCACAATAATTTTGCTTCCATTTCTCCTTCTGTAAATTGAGGGTGAGGTGGAGGGTAGAGCACATGGGCTTACTGAATGGTTGTAAGCAAGTTTAAAATCTTTACAACAAGCATGCTGGTCCAACGGACCGGCCCATTGGACAGGAACAGGCTATCCTAAAGCCCACATCCGAGGCTCAACCTACAGGGGCTGACAGGGAAGCCCGGAAAACCTGGGTGCTTTCATTGACACAACAGAAGTGCCACTTCTACGTCTATGGTCTCAGAGGGGACATGTCCTGTACCCTCCCAGTAAGGACAGGAGTCCAGGGCCACGGGAGTTTGCTGGGGAGGCCATAAGCTCTGCAGCCACCAGACCCTGGTCAGTCCTAGCACTGCCTTTTCCTAGTAAAATGGGCTGTTATTAGCTGCTGTCAAGACAGCCCCAAAGTCATGACAACGCTATGAATAACACACCAAAGGCTTCCTGGGCCTGTGACAGCCCCATGATTGGTTGCAGATCACAGCAGCACTGTGATCCATCCATAGAATTTTCATGGGCTGGCTTCTGGAGAGTGAGCTCTGGCAGCGCAACCCATAGGGAGTGGTGCTGCTAACTAAGGCTGAGTCTGTGTAGCGGTCCACATCCATGAGGGGCTCTGAGAGAAAAAGATGGGCCATCTCCTCCAGTGTGGCTTACAGCCTCAGAACCCAGAGCAATGAGTTAATTCTGACTGGAAGGCAGTGAGAGAGAGAGAGAGAGAGATAGAGAGATATTTTGATTGATTTCTGGAAGTAGATTATCAGATCTTTCTTCCTAGTTTGTCTTATTTGATGGTCTGCTGAAACCTGTTCATTAGCATAGCAACACGCAAGCCTCCACTGACAGACAAGTAGGTGGTGGCTGTGCACTGGCAGGAGTTGAACCTGAGCCTCCAGCACAGAAGGTGTGAACTTTGCCATGAAACCACAGGGCCCCCAGTGAAAAGGAATAGCATTCTCTCTCTCAATGCTGCAGGGAGATTAGAAGTCTTCTCCACAAAGCAACCTGCACAAATGGATAGTTACTACTTTTATTAAAAGTTTAGATGGCAAAGAATCACACCCTGCAATTAAGAGCACATGCTCCTTCCTCAACCTCGCTGAGCTAATCACCTGCAGCGGAGCCAGAGGGACTGGTTGAGGCCAGGCCAGTGGGCAACGCTGCATTGTCACTTACACCAGCCAGTCCCCACTTTAGCTGGTGTTGATTGTCGTGTGGCCCCTTGTCTGGTGCGAGGTAGGGAAGGAGGGTCTGTCTGTCCCTCCATCTCCCTGCCCTAGAGTGGAAAGGGTGCGGCAGGGAGAACAGCCCTTGGTGGGAACGAGTGGGCTTTTGTTTTCCACGGTGGAAGAAGGCCAAACTGTAATTCTTATTTTTCAAGTCGTGTCCTCTGCCAAGTTGGCTTCCCCGTCTCTTGCTGAGATGGAAAATTGCAGCTCCTCCCCGCCCCCTCCCCTTTGTGCTAACATGAGACTTGCTTTTGTTCTGCTGACACGGCAGTCTTGGCAGAAAACTGACCCAAGAAGAGAGAAGAGGGGCTGGTTCTCTTGTGCTTCCCTGCCCTCGGCCTTGGCTTTGAGGAAGAGCTGAGAGGAGGTGGGCTCAGAAGGACTATCCCCAGGGTCCTGAGGCAGCCCGGGGTTGGGCCCAGCGAGATCCTGAAGCTACAAGTGAATACCCTGAGCAGGGAGAAAGGGCCGAAGGCCTGGAAACAGCATTTTCATTAATTCCTGGGTGGAAAGGAATTACGTAACCGGGAAAGCTTTTGAGGGCTTGGGAGCGGGTGGGCTTAAGTTCTCTGCGCTGGGAAGTTTTTTCCAGAGCTGGATTTGATTTCCATCCAGTAAAGCTCTAACTAACTCTTCCACCCTCAAAGGACAACCTACATTTAAGAGCCCATTTTGACTTCCATACCGAGAAGTATCAAGAATGATCACTACATATGAAAGCAAGAAGTCCAAAGGGTTGTCCTAGGAAATGGTTTCTGCTTTTGCCAAATGCCTATCATCTATCAAGGAGTCCACCTTTGTTTCCATTTTACAGACGTGGAAACTGAGTCTCAGAGCGGGATCCTGCTTGAGGTCACACGGCTGTCTGCTGGAGAACTGGTATTTGGCAACTTCAGCTGGCACACTCGGTTTTCTCCAGCAGGAAAAAAGGAAATTCCAGTGTGATCGCACACTTTCCCCATGAAGGAACAGAAAATGTTAGCTTTTTTTAAGGCAAACGACTCTGCCCGTGGTGGGGAGCCTGGCCAACACATCTACTCACTTAATGATGGCAATTCTGGGAGAACCCACTGGCGTGCCGAGTGCACGGCTCTGCGGAGGGGGGGACTGGGCTCTCTGTGACCCCAGTGGGTCCTCCCTAGCCTTATCCCCTCATCTGAAAAGGAAATACATGTTTCAAGGGCCCTTCTAGTTGTACACGTCTGGAAGGAGTGTTTCTTCGCTTCTAGTGCTGTTCTAGCAGACACACCATAAATGGATGACTTTAACAAACAAGCTTATTTCCTCATGAATTGTCATTAGTTTGATTCTGACTCATGGTGATTCTCTGTGTGTAGAGCACAGCTGCTCCTTGGAGTTTCCAGCTCATAGCGATTCTGGGAAAACAGAACAGAACACGGTGGCTTTGAATCACGCTCACAATCACCGTGCTGGAGGCCGCTGTGGCGGCCACTGTGCTGGTCCATCGTACTGAGGATCACCCTCCTTTGCTGCTCCCCTTTCTAATTTACCAAGCACAGGGCCCTTCTCAATGGACAAGTCCCTCCTGACAATGTGTCTTAAACAACAGACATGTGAATAATAGAGAAAATTTACCACAGAAACTAGAATTATTCAAGTTTTAGACATGAAACAAACTGAGACTTCAAGGGGTGAAATGACTCGCCATAGGTCATTACAGCTAGCAAATGGCATAGCATCTAAATCCAAAGCCGTCTTATTGTCTCTTGGAAAAAACTCACCGCCATCTAGTGAGTTCTGACTCACTGTGACCCTCTGTCAGGTTTCTGAGGCTGTAAGTCACATGGAAGGAGAATGCCCATCTCTGTCCCTCAGAGCTACCAGTGGACATCAAGGACACACAGCCTTTAGGTCAGCAGTGTAACCTGTGACAGGAGCCACCACCAAGCTTGCTTAGCGAGTAGTTTCTACAAATGACAGAGACTGTGGTCAGTGGGGCAACAGACCTGGAAAGAAGAGGCAGTGAAGTGTCCTGGGGTGAGGGCCTGGCACTGACGCCCCTCGGCCTCCACTGTCTACATGCACCTCTCACCTACCTGGTAGGAAGGGAATGATCCGCTGTTTGGGGTCCTTCTGTCCTCCTTCCATAGGAAATTTGTCCAACATTTGCATCTACATGGGGAGAAGAAGAAGAGAAACAAATACCTTCAGTGGTACACTAAACGCGTCTCTGATAGTCTGAAGGAATGATGTAAAATAGGTGATCTGCGGCATAAAAGTGCACTTGGTTCATTCAGAAATTCAAGTTAATGGGGAAGGCAATTTCAACTGGACCTAGGACCCTCATGAAAAAAAATTTTTTTAAAAATCCAGCTGCCAGATGTGTGAAGACTCAGGGTTTAAAGAGACCAAGCTCTGTTTCCCCAGAGGTCATCAGCCACAGGATCTAAGATTTGAACAATACGTTCAGGGCAGTCACTTGGTTTCCTAAGAATTACCAGCGTTGTTAAGGAACAAAACCACTAGAAACAGTGAAAGAAACAAAACACCTGTTCTAATTCATGGTGACCCCATGTGTGTCAGAGAGAACTGTGCTCCACAGAGTTTTCAAGGTTTGTCTTCCGACGTCCTCTGGGTAGGTTCAAACTGCTAACCCTTTGGTGAGTATTCAAGCAGTTAACTGCTTATGCCATCAGGAAACTCTTGATCAGATGACTAAGACTCAATTAATCAGGTTGGGTCTAAACCTATGAGATCATTTCACCTCTCTGTTTTGAATAGGAGGTCCTCATGTTCATTCAACAGACACCTTTGTGTATGGTTATGAGCTGGACACATCAGCAAAGAAGGTTCTGGAAGGGACTGAGAAACCTATCACCAAGTACAAGCAGTGTCGGAAGCACCATGAGAAAAACTACTGTGGGAACAGAGAAGCAACCAGGAGTGAAGACCCAAAATGAAAATGCTTTATAGTGTAATAAGAGCATCTTTGACAATGAAATATTAATATGGAATGTGTGACTCTATACACGTAAGCACAAGGATCTGCTACCTACTTCCGTATGGAATTGGGGAAGTGCCATAACCTCTTGGGGTTTCACTGTTAAGAAAATAATAATAATGATACCAACTTACAGGGTGATTTTATGAATTAAAGCTAAGCTGTGTCATTAACATTATCACAAAATACTGCCTCTTCTTCTGAGAACAAGGTAGCCTTGCACGTCCCCACCTCCCTGAAATGTGATGTGGCCAATCAAATATAACAAGTGGAAAGTGTCACTTCAGGTTGGCATATTTATGAATGACACTTTGATCTACTACCTTCCAGTGGCCTAGTGGCAAGAAGCTATGCTGCAATCTCAAAAGCATGTGGTTCAAATCTGCCAGTTGCTCTGTGGGAGATGGATGGGTAATCTCCTCCCATGGATTTAACTGCCTCTGAAAACCTGCCAGAAGGTCAGCTATGGGTCGGTTCGACTCTACGGTAAACAACAACACAGTCCTTGAGGGCAGTGGCACAAAGGGTTAACAAACCTGAAAGGCACATGAAAACAATGAGTCCATAGTAGTAATGGACCTTGTGAACCTAAAATTCCATGACCGTGAGACAGAACTCGATAGTGGCCAGCTATCATGATTAACCTCTCCTAAAGGGATCACACAGAGGATCCTGGATAGAGTGGATGGCAAGTGAAGCTCAAATCTTATATCACAATAAATGCCAGGCTCACTGGTCTGGTGGAGACTGGTACAGCCCTTTGCCACCACCCTTTGAGCTCAGGACTGAAGTCAACCCTCCAGCACAACTTCCAGTCACACAACAGATAGATCTATAAGGTGAATAACACTAACACTACAGAGACATTCCATCAAATAACCACACAAGATCATGTTGTTGTGGTTGTTAGGTGCCATCGAGTTGAGTATGACCCACAGCAACTCTATGAACAACAGATCTGAACCCTGTCCTATCCTGTAGCATCCTCATACTTCCTGACACATGTGGCTCACACTTCCTGGCCCACTGAGGCAGTCACCATGTTGATGCACCTGTTTGAGGGTCTTCCTCTCCTTCACTTAATCCTCCACCCTTCCCAACATCAAGTCCCTCTTTAAGCAACAGCCTCTCCTAGCAACATGCCCAAAGTATATGAGGCCTTATCCTCTTTGCCTCCAAAGAGCACTCCGGGTGCACCGTCTCCAAGATATACTTGTTCTCTTGGCTGTCCATGAATTGTTCAGTGCTCTTCTCCAACACCACAGCTCAAAGGCATCAAGTCTTGTTCTGTCATCTTTATTCACTGTTCAGCTCTCAGATGTATAGTAATCAGAAAGACTACGGCCTGAATTAGATGCACCTTAGTCCTTAAAGTGACATCATTATTCCTCAATAATTTGGAGAGATCTCTAACTGCAGATTTTCCCAGTGCAATGAGTCTCCTTATTTCCTGACTGCTGCTACCAAGGGTATTAATTGTGTATCCAAAAAAGATGAAGTTGTTGACAGTTTCAATCTTTTCTGCATCTATCATGATATGTTGTCTACTGGTCCAGTGGTAAGAATCTTTGTTTTCTAGACATTGAGACATAATCCATATTGAGGGCTGTATTCTTTGATCTCTGCAACAACTGCCTCAAGCCCTCCTCACTTTCAGCAAGCTTTCTTTACTGTTTAACCTGGGGTAAATCTCAGAAAGGAGAAGTTCAAGTTTACTAGTTATTTCACCAGAGGAAGATGAGGCAGCCTGCTCCCACAAATATATATAACCTGAGAAACCTTACGGGGATGTTCTATGTCCTATAGGGTGGCGATGAGTCCGACCAACTCAACAACAGGAGCAGTGTAGAAGTTAACAGTGAAAGTGTTTTCATACACACACTTTGCTTTTACTTCCATAATAGCCTTGGAAAAGAAATGCAAGAACCCCCACTTCACAGATGAGGCAACCAGTTAACTGCTCTAGGTCCCCCAGCCAAGTGGAGCGGTGCAGTCAGGCCAAGTATCTTAATCTAAATTCCATTATCTTTCCCTAAAATTGCTCTTAAGGGCAGCTTCAGAGTATCACGTGAACATGCAGACTTCAGCCCGAGATGAGGTAAGTTTAATGTTCTATGCACATGTGAACAGAATGCCTCCTTTTGAAAAGCAGGGCAATTAATCACTCTCAGCTGCTAGAAATTTATAGGTTTTGCCTAACACTATCTTTTTTCTTTCTCAATTTTATTTCTTAAGATAATGTTGAAATACCACTAACGAATATTTATCTGTTGTTTTTTTTTCAAAGGAATGTGTCTGTAATCTGTCCTCCCTACTGTAACTGTTTGCATTCTCCGGGGTTGTTTCTCGGAGCCTGTCCCGCTGACTGTACTCACCGGCTACAGACTCACCCACAATACTGTTTTCAGCCTCAGGGGTGGTCTTCACTGCTCTTGCCCAGATAACCATGGCAGAAAAGCTGAAATTTCTCTTCCTCCTCCTCCCCAGCTCCTTCATGTTAGCCCTATCATCATCACCAACAACAACAACCACATCAACACCATCACTCTCACCAACTATCACTCCCAACACCACTGCTGCCAAAATCACGATAACCAACTGCCAGCTTCACCACCTCCACGTCATCACCAATACCATCTCACTTCAACACCATCACTCTCACCATTATCACTCCCACCATTGCCCCCATTAAAATAACAACCACCACCACCACCAGCACTCATGCCACTTCCACCATCCCTAGCATCAGTTCTACCTCTTCCTTTTCCTCCTCCACCACCACCACCACCACCTCAACCACCACCACCACCACCACCTCAACCACCACCAGATTTAGATTTCTACACTGCAGAATCTAATCACCGATAATCCTTGGGGTCACAAAGCCCTGGGGATCAATTCTGACATTTCCCTATGATGGCTGTGTCCACCGCCATACCCTGCACCCCCTGAGCCTGTCTGGTCATCTGTGGGATGAAGTCCACAGCTTGCTTTGCAGGGCTGTCCTGCACATTAATGAATGCTGACACATGTTAACTCTCTTGAGGGCACAGGTGATATCAACGAGAATACCCCCTTCTCTGCTCTATGATCATTTTGAATATGCTATTTTGAAAAAGTTATTTGAGAAAAATTTTGGCAACTCGTGAGACTATTTTTTAAGGTTGGCAAAACCACTCAGATTGTCCAAGTCCTCCATTAGACCTGAGCTGTCCACCTGAATGTCCGATAAAACACTCTACAGTGGTGCAGCCCAAGCACTACAGCCACTTGCCCTTGTGTGCCTTCTCAACACATGACATGTGCTCAATAATAGTAATTAAAGTGTCAACAGTCCTATGTGACTAGCGGGCACCATAAAGGGCAGTGCAAGACTGGATGAGAATATTTATCGCCCTCTTTCAGCCACAGCTAGTTTTATCGAATTTGCTGTATCATCACATTAGTGTTAACTGTAATCTTTAAGACTGCTATCTTGTTATGTGCTGTCGAATCACTTGCATCTCATAGCCACTCTGTACAAAGCTCTGAACTTGGCTCTATCTTGAGCCCATTTCATTGTCTCTGACACACCTACCCCATTATCCCAGTCACTGAGTCAATCTATCTCATCCACGGTCTTCCTCTCTTGAGCTGTCCCTCTACCTTCCAAGCTTGATATCCCTCTCCGAGGACTGGTCCTTCCTTGCAACATGCCAAAGTAGGCCAGACAGAACTTCAAAATTCTTGCCTCCATGGAGTAACCTGGTTTCACCCTCTCCAGGGCAGACCTCTTTGTTCTCTTAGCAGTCCAAGGTATGTTTCATACTCTTCTCTAGCACCACAACTTAAAGGCATCAATTCTTCTATCATCCTTAAGTCATCGTCCAGCTTGCTGATGCATAACAATGGTAACTGCAAAGACCATGGATTGGATCAGATGCACCTTCATTTCCAGACTGACACTGTTGCTCTTCAGTCCTATGGAGAGGTCCCTGACAGCAGATTTCCCTAATGTAATTAATTTTTTAATTTCCTGGCTGCTGGTCCCAAGAGTGTAGATGTGGAGCCAAGTATGCTGAAGCTGTTAATAATCTCTTCTATCATGATGCTATCAATTGGCCCAGTGATGAGAATCTTTGTTTTCTTGATGTTGAGTTTCAATCCATAATGAAGGGTGCAGTCCTTGATC